GTTGCAACTGCACCGCACAACTGCTACAGCACATAATTACGCAAATTAGTGTATGTAGTGTATTTGTACAGTGCAGCTGTACACGCCGCAATTTTGCGACGCCTAATCCAGCTGTTTGCTACCCTTCTATTTCCCATACTCTCTACTCTCCGGTCGCTGGTGAACGCTGGTGGACGCTGGTAGACGCTGGCAGACGCTAGATCGATATCTACACTTTCCTAGTCGCTGACGCTGCCGGACGCTCGGAACGCTAGTGGTCGCTGATGGACGCTGCCGAAAGTATGAACGCAGCGTAGTAAAACTGGAGGCCAGAACAGGATGTCAAAACTCACCGAAACCTTGAAAGAATTTCGACAATCTTTTGTGAGTTGATGGACTGTTTGCATACTGGCACTTCATTACCCTCGGTAAACTGTACGTAGATCTTCTTCTGCCAAATTTTGCATATTTCTTTGGCGAATCTGTAAGAATATACCTCGAAAGCGAACTGAAACATGGAGGAACCCTCTTCCGAGTAGTCAGTCAAGAAAGAGAACCTTCTTCATTTCAGCCTTATGATTTTCTCTGACATCATCCATTCCATACAGAACAAGGGCCCTCTGATTCGCCTCGCTTCGATGCTCTTCAGTTTGACGAAGTGGCATCTGCAGAAAAAAGTTACAGTGAAAAAGTTGTAATGTTCCGAAAAGTCTTCACAATACTGAAGTGCTTTTACTAGGCTAACGGCCTGTGGCAATTTGATCATTACTGCCAGTCAAGTGGGCATGACAAGCGGAGTAGTTGTAATACCACGCCCTTTCTCAGCTAGCTAGCTACAAAGCTAGCATTCTACCCATTTCACCGACACATGATGAAGGTTCCCATGGAAAAAGGACATTTTTTAACCATCCCAGGCTCTAATGAAAACTTGTAGTAAAGGCTCGAAAAAAAAACTATGATATTTATCAAGCCGAGAGAGAAAATTTGTTAAATATGAACTGCCCTACTCTTGGCATTTGCGATAGAAAACAAAGTTGGTACCTGTATGAGGATTCTGTCGTTCATAGACATGGGATCATTCAGATAAATATGTTCGTCTTTTTCTTCTTGTCTAAAGGAGATCAAACTGGTCGGCTTCGGAGGCTCATCTGGTGTCAGGTCCTCGAACTAAACAATATAACATCAAGAATGTTTGAAAATGAAAAATCATCAAATCATCGAGTAAATTGAAAAATGGAACAATTGAGAATTATCCAAGGCAACGAAAGCAGAGAGGCAGTTCAGGCCCGTCTCACACGTGCCCTTAGACACAAGCCGATCGCAAGCATAGTGCTCCGTCTGCGCTCACCAGTAAGGGAAGGACGAAAATCGCGTCCCATGAATTTAACACGTAGCAAGGAAAAATGAAAGAATTGTGATGTTTCAGAGGCAAATCGTCTAAAAAGACGGTTATTTAAACCAATTCATATGGTAAATAAAGTGCAGGTGTCATGTACTCAGTGCTCCAGTGCTCTCTAAAGCGGCGTTTGGAGAGTGAGTAATTACTGTCTCGGCGTTAAGTCGCAGATGAGCAGGCTAATTCACGCAACAGCGTGCTCCTCGACTTCATAACAACCTCGGCGTCGGAAACGGGCCTATTTTGGGCGCACAACAGCGAAGTGCTGGTGGGACATAGGCGTCTAACGGGAAGTTTAAGAGGTAGACCCCTTCAGACTCAGATTACCTAGAAAAACCTGTACAAAAGGCAGTGATGCTTAGGAGAAGCACAACGTCGTGTCGAAACTAGCCTTGCTACAGTACACTCGCACACCGGAAAAAAGTGTACAGATTTTTTCGAAGCACAGACAAGATTCCATGCAAAGCGTTGAATCAGAATATCTAGACGAGACTCTATGCCTTACCTGAGCCGAAATTAGTGATGAAGAAATAACGTCAGTGGTCTTGTTCTCATTTTTATATTTGTCCATAACCGGTCGCTGATAGTCAAGCTCACCGGATTTGAT